ATGTTGGAGGTCTGATACAAAAGAAAATATCGTCATTGCTATTTTGTGAGATCTAGCAAGCGTGGGCGATAATAATTGTTTTCCATGGACCATATGGTTAATTGCACCAAAAAATAGCACTACTACTTATCCAATCCTTTTATCTCATCTCAGAATTTACTTGTTCAATATATAGCTTTATATTGTATAATAACGTCACAGAAAATTTCTTGTTTTCAAACAAAAAACAAACAGCAAAATTATTTCAATATTTACCTAAATTTATTCCTGAATGAGCAAATGAAGACATTCAAAAGGACCTAGTTGAAGCAGTCGACGTATTTTAGCAAAAAGAAAAGATAAAAAAAAAGGTTATGCAAACGTTGATTTATACTTTGTCGTCTACAACAAAATTTAACAAAATTGATAACCATTGCTTGCTTATTCTGTGAGCCAATCACATTATGCACTTGACTAGAGCTAGCCAATAGCAATTCTTTACTCCTATAGATCATGTACGCGTAATATTTGCAATACCATGACTTTATCAATTTTGAACTTTCCAAATAAGTGTGCTGGAAAAGAAAAGCAACTTGTTTGCCAGTCAAATTTTGGGAATTGTTTCAGTGTCAAATATGATATGTTTATAAAAAAGCTCAATTGCTTTACAAACTGCTGTTGTATATTGAAAAAATATTTTTATTTAGGCAATTAGCTACTTGGTGCAGTTGAAAGTGATGATCTATGAGTAAAAATGATATAAAACCATTCAAAGCTAAAATATATTCTAGCGAGCCTGTTTTGCAGCAGTTAAGCAAGCTTGAATCATGAATGTTTTTTTTTTGTTCTTGAGGTTCACAAAGACTATTAGACAAAGAAGTGGGATTTTTCTATTTAACATTCTTTTCTTCGTCTTTTGGGCATTATCCATAAATGACTTAAGTCATTTCTTTATAAATGTTCGATAAATGTTTTGTCCTCGCCCATTTTATTTTTACCTACATCTGCATTCTGCCATATACGTTTGTGTATTGTAACTGTACCGCCAATCACACGATATAAAAGATCAATATTTTGAAACATGTATAATTATATGCCGTAATTTACCATTTGAGCCTTAGAATCAACTTCAAACGTCCACCTCTCCGAAAACTCTTAGTTCTTGAGGTTAACATTTCGTCCCACAGTTGTTCTTTATGCCATGTTTTTTTGTTTAAGATCAAATTGATGATGATGAATTAGTTATATGCTCAAAATACAAAACTGTATTATTGCCTCTTCACATACAATGAATTAAAGATGGACTGTCTTCGGATTTTGTTTAAACTTAGCATATTGTATATTAGCTTCCACTACAACTGGCTCAATAATCTTGCATCGAGATTAGCAGCCATTCTGCAAGCAATGGAGTCAATGATAAGTTAACCACACCTTCCTACAGTTGTAGATTTAATATTTATACGGGCTCTCTCAAAAAACCGCTCATCTTCAAAATTAGCCGAAATTCATTCAGAAATAATATATCCCCAAGGAGCAATAAAATTGTAAAAAAACGTGTATTTTTGTATTTGAGATGAAGGTTAGCTGAGAAAAACATGTTATGCTTCAGCCCATGTATAATTAGTAAATAAAATTACCTCAGGGGCTGTTTACATGAGCCCGGTAATCGGGATTAGGCGAGGCGTTAAATGAATTTGAAGTCATTAAAAAGAGCAAAAACTTAAAGCGCAAAACTTACAACCATTTCTTAAGCGTCATAAGTCATTTTAGTTTTAATTTTTAAATCAGGCTAAATTATTTGTTTTCATTTTAAAGGTTTTGTGAATTTGTAGATTCAGAGCATAGAGAATTTCCTCAAACAAGTTTCTCGTTGTGAAGTATTTAATCTTTTCCATTTGCCAAAATGATTTAACGCTTCGCAGAATCCCGGCTACCGTGCTCATGTAATCAGACCCTCGAAACTGAATTGCAATTCGGAAAGAAAAACTTCTAATTAATATTTAAGTTACACGCCAGTCTCAATAAATTTCGACCATTAATATATTCTTCAGTTACGATGCCGCCATGTTGGAGGTGAAATACAAAAGAATACAACCGTTGAGAGAACGTTATTGTTTTTTATTGCCCCTTTGATTGATTGAAATTGAAACCAACAATTCTTGAGTTTTGATTCCGCCATGTTGGAGATCACAAGAATAGATTATGATTATCAATGCTATTGCACTACTACGTATCCAATCTTCTTATCTCATCTTAGTATTTACTTGTATAATATAAAGTTTTATATGACATATTAACGTCACAGAAAATGTCTAATTTAAATGGCGAAATTATTTAAATATTTCCCAGAATTAGCAATTGAAAACTGTTAAAAAGACCTAGTCGAAGCGTTTGACATATTTTAGCGACTTCCATAAGCAAAAATGCTAAAAAAACAATCAAAGATAAAATACATTCTAGTTATTTTGTAGAGCCTGTTTACAAAAGTAAAACAAGCTTGCTTGAAAGTTTATTTTTTTGTTCTTGAGGTTACGAAGACAAAAAAGTCAGATTATTCCATGCAATCTTCATTTGTTCTTCTTTCAACTTATTTAAGTCATATCCTTGTGTTTATCTCAGTGCTAATGATGCATATGTTTCTTGCCTTTCGTTTTGTCTTTGCTTCTGCTTATTTCACTCGTGTGAATCACAAAATCAAATACTCTACTGAACAAATACTTTTTGGTATCTCGAATCACTTGAATTTCTCCTATTTTTGTTCAGCATTCTCACCAATATACACATTATTTTTCTATCCAATAATCCATAAATCAGAGGATTTAACGAGTGTGAGCCAATAATACGGACGGAAAAAGCAATTTTTAAATTAGTTGAGGCATTTGGTGAAAAAGCGTTGTGATTTTTAAATTCGTTTGCAGCCAAATAATAAATATGACCCACTGCAAAGCAGAGAACCGTGCAGACGCAAACGAAAAATGTCTTACGATCCTGATTGTGTCTTCGAAGACTTGAGCTGGTGAAGGATTTTAGACGAGACTGTGATGCATTCGAAAATGTTCTTAGTACTTTTCTTTGTTTGCTCAATGTTCTAGCGATTATGGAGTAAGTCACAGACATGAATATTATTGGAAAAATGTAGAAACAGGCATAAAACGCAGACAATTCGTAAATGTAACGAAGGCGTTTAGGATCCATACTCTCGAGGATGCACTCTCGCATTGTCATTCCAACAGTCGTAACCAAACCAATGATGTACGCTAAACCACAAACGATTTTTATCTTCAGTTGACTGAGAGAAAGTTTCAATGGACAAACTATCGCACGATAACGTAGAACGGAAATGAGCATCATGATACAAACGCCGCTTACTTGAAAGAAAAAATAAATGTCATTTATATCTAAGCAGTTAAACAATATTAAAGCGCTTTTAAGAAAGTTATCCAATATCAAATGGAGAAATATGCTCAACATTGTAAATACGTCACATATCGCGAGATGCAAGACAAGAAAGTAGAAGTTCTTCTTTAACAAAATTTTTCTTTTTAATATCGAAGCGATCACAAGGGTATTTCCAACGATGCCAAATGAAGATATTGCGACAATGAAAAATATAAAAGTTTCCATAGCGATAAGATTGATATATCTGAGCTACTTTCTATGAAGTGCTCTTCTCTCCTATATATTCCACTTTGCAAATGCAATACAGAGCTGTGTGTTCAAGCTTTTCAGTGAGTCTCAAAACTCGATAAAAATTTTGCCTTGTTGCATTTTGTTTCCAACTACATCTGCATTATACGTCCGTATATTGTAATTGTGATTGAAATGTGCGTTAACATGGACCTATTAAAATTCACAAAAGCTCGTTATAAATTTATATAAGCCAGCGACAAAGAGCGTTATCGCTTTTCGCAGTAATTCCTTTTCCAGCGAATAAACGCCGCATCGCAGCTGTGTCAAGCACATTTTCAAAAACGAAACAAACGCAAAACCAATTAGGTTTGCCATTTTATAGGACGAGAAGTCATAATTGCACTACTAATTTGGACTAAATTAAAGTATTTAAAACTGTCGATGATATAACGAATCAAACGTTGAAATTGACAAATTTGCGGCAAATGACTTTTTTGCAACAATTTAATTCAATGAAGAATTTATCGCTCACGAAAATGTCTCCATATGTAGAGATTTTCGAATATCTTATATTTAAGAAAACATCTAAAATAATGATGAACACTAGATGTCCGTCTCTACAGGGTGTCTCAAAAACTGCTCATGCAGCCGGCGTTTTACAATTAGCATGATTTAAGCCCGCCGCACACTGGAGGAACTTGCCTACGCCAAGTGTCATTCGTGATACTTGGCGTAAGCACTTTCCTCTAGTGTGCGGTGCCGTTTGGAGCGCTTTTTGTCACGCGTGTCACTTGCATCTGATATTCAACATGTTGAATAATTTTTGCCACGAGTGATACTTTACTCCAAGTGTGCGGTGAACGAAAGCTTCTAGGTTACAGCTTCAATCTAATACGCATGCGTTGTGTGCACTCTGATACAACAAAACAAACATGGCGGCGAGCCCCAGCTCTACCAGTGCAGTTGTTACCGAAGCAATTTTGGAAGACCAAATCGCTGATTTGTGGCCTGAATACCCATGCCTATACGATGTTAGGTCACCAGAGTTTAAAAACAGAGAAATGAGAGAGCGTGCTTTGGAAGAATTGGCTGAAAAATTGGGTCAAACTGGTAAGTCAAATTCAATTGAATTTGTTGATTCAACTGTGAAATGTCTTAGTGATTATTAGCGCTTATTTTGCAGTTGCATGGTTAAAATCTAAATTGAAAGCATTACGAAATAGTTACGTGAAAGCCAAGAAACCATCAGCAAGTGGGAGTGCTTGGAAAAATCCTACGAAACGGTCAACGTGGCTGTTGGAGAAATTACAGTTTTTAGCTCCCCACGTGGCTTTTAGGGCGTCTGTTTCCAACTTGGATACGGTATGGAATTTTACACTCAAAGACATGTATAAATCAGTTAAATTCATTTTTCATTGGGTTTAAATACTCTTGAAATATTTATATGTAACTAAAATTTATGACATATCAACAATTCGGTTTTGCCATGGCACTGCTCCATCATTGTTGAAATAAATTGTTAGCAGTTCACGTTGAACTTTTGCACCTCTAGATGTATTAGGCACTAATGTACGCTGCATGTCAGTTAAGTTTGGGTCATTCCTCTAAGTTCCAGGTGATATTGTGTGATCTGCATTCTCTTGGTCAACTGCTACGGTATATGTTGCTTTGTTCTTGTTGATCATGTAATTGTGCAAGCAACAGGCAGCTAATATAATATCGGTTATTTTGTCTGGGGTCAGTTTGATAGTGGTTAAAAACACTCGCCATCTATGTGCAAATATGCCAAAAGCATTTTCAACTACCCGGCGTGCCCTTGACAATCTGTAGTTAAAAATGCGCTGTCCTTTTTCTAAGTTACGATGAGGATAAGGTTTCATCAGGTTGGTTGACATGGGAAATGCATCATCGCCAACAATGTGACAATGTATTTTTGTTGCTATCCCTTGTACATTTTGTGGAGAGGGAAGATTTAAAATGTTGGATGATAATGCCCTTTTCAATGCAGAATCTCTGAATACTCCAGCATCCCCAGAACGACCTGCTGCTCCAACATCCACATAAATGAACTTGTAATTAGCATCAACAAGGGCCAAGAGAATAACACTGAAGTAATGTTTGTAATTAAAAAACTCTGATCCACTTGCAGTAGGTTGCTGGATACTAATATGTTTTCCATCTATGGCACCTATGCAGCATGGGTAGTTCCACTTGCTTTCAAAGTCACCAACAATTTTCAACCAATCTTCTTCTTTGCAAGGAGTCTAAAATGAACAATCTTTTGTTTAGGTGTCATGTACAACACCTACATCAGATCTCAGCACTGTAGAGCTTGATGACAGCATTGAAGATGACAATTTCTCAATTGAAAATGAATCATGGGAAAACAATGATACTGACACAATTGAAATAGTAAAGTCAACAAAAGAACCACTCAAATCCAGGCAAATTAACACAAAAAGAGGCAAGCTGATCACGAATATTCCTTGATAAAAATCTTTCTGATTCAATTTCTCAAAGAAACAAGAAACCCAAACCTGATGAAACTTCAAAAAAACAATATGATGCATTTGGAAAATATGTATCTCAAGCACTATCAGATTTGGACAGTGCAACACGTCATCTGGCCCAACATCAAATAAACAATATTATATTCCAGGCTCAAACTGGAATGCTAACTCAGGATTCACAACAAGCAGTGGTGGTACAACCGCAATACAACCAATTTCGGCCCATACAATCATATCACATTCCCTCGACAAACAACTATCCCACATCTCCATTCAACTAAGCAAGTCCTCCGCTACATAATTCCTTACGAGAAGAATCAACTATATTTAATCAAAATAGGTGGTCTTCAAACTGACAGATGATGATGTGGCTTGAAGTATAGTCAAACAGTTCATTGCACATTTATTAAATAAAACATGTTCAGATAAACCTTCAAATATTCTTCTTTTAATATGGCATACAATGCTTTGCAAGTGTCTTCTACAATCCCAGAGATAGTCCTTTCTCCTATTCGGTACTGGAAGGACAAGCTTCTGAAAGATTCTCCTAGGCATGTTTTAATAACAATACATTATACCCTGGCTGCTTCATAGGATGCATTATAACACTACTTTAGCATTAATGAACCCATCAACACATTAGAAAACCTACTCAACAAGTGAATGAATAATGCGACATAAAATCCTTCCACTCCTCCTTTCAAAGGTAACAAATCTGCTCAAAAGCAGAAAGTCATACCCTGCAAGTCTGTGGTTTGTCAAAAAGGTGAAAGGATACTTAAATTGTTTTTAAGTTTAGACATACCTGTTGCAAGAAAGCCTAAAGTTACTGACAAACGCTCAGAAGGCTTAATCGAAGCTCGCAGTTGTGTATCTTTTTTCTCAATATGTGGCGACACTATACCTAAAATCTCCTCGAACGAACGTCGTTCAACCCTATGATATTGCCTAAATTTTTCTGGGTCTTCTACATTGATCTCACGAATAAGATTGGCGAATGCCCCTTGAGACTCACGACGTAAAATCCACTTCCTCGTCCAAATCTTTCGCTTTTTGGCCCTAAGTCGTCTTCGCCGCCGGCGTAATAATAGAAGAAGTAACAATATCTCTTCATCTTCGGATGAATATGAATTATCTTCGGACGAGCTTGAATTTTCTTCGCATGAATCTGAGTCTGAGTCGTACGTTTCGCACGCTGCAGCCGCCATGTTTGTATCAGAGTGCACACAACGCATGCGTATTAGATTGAAGCTGTAAGCTAGAAGCTTTCGTTCACCGCACACTTGGAGTAAAGTATCACTCGTGGCAAAAATTATTCAACATGTTGAATATCAGATGCAAGTGACACGCGTGACAAAAAGCGCTCCAAACGGCACCGCACACTAGAGGAAAGTGCTTACGCCAAGTATCACGAATGACACTCGGCGTAGGCAAGTTCCTCCAGTGTGCGGCGGGCTTTAGCAGTAATTGATCTCCAAAATATCTTCAAAGGTATTTGAAAACAATAATACATACGAATTGCGACAACTGTTTATTGCAAGTTTCAAGCACGAAATTCATTTCAATAGCATCTATGCCTCTTTGGGGATTAGAAATTAGCTACAGATTCATGCAAATTCTAAATGTTGGCTGATTTTAAAGATGAGCAGTTCTTCTGAGACGGCTGTAGTTCGCTGAAAAAAATGAGGACCATATTCATATATTTGATCGGCGCATTTCACTTGCTGCACCACAGGACATCTAACCTCCTGTTGCGTTCCTCATACTAAATATTGTCTCGCTGATTGTGTCGAAGATTTACAAAAGAATAAGATAGTTATAAGATAATTTTACGTGTCTTAAAAATACATGAAAATAAAATTACGACTTTGGAAATCGACAACGAAGTTCAGTGGAATTATTAGTCGTTAATTTCGGTTTGGAAAAACGAAAATGCCGATTTTGGCAGCATTTACACTTTGAGAACTACAAGAACCTTGACTTTTACAAAGATTTTCGGAGACAACACGGAGCACAGCACATTTGCCGCCATTTTGAATTTTTTAAAACGTGTCCTTGAATTGGACATCTACTTGCATCATCGTTGTTATTGAAGCAATGGTTCTTTTACAGAGTTTTCAATGGTTTTCAATCATACCACCCCACCACCCCCAGCTATGTAAGCATTACAATTAATGGCTAGCAGGAATTGGGTATGAAGAACGGTAATCAAACTGTTCGTTAAAATTGATCTGACATTCAAAGCCACAAAGCCAAAGTCCTAAGTCATGAGCAAAAATTCGCGCAGGTTAGTGTACCGCGTGACTAAGACAGTCGTCAAGAGTTGTGGATTCGAAGGAGAAATAACGGACAACAGCTGACTGATTTTATTTGTCCTATACCGTTGTGCAAAAAATTTCTTTGAATGTAATTTCCACGCATTCTAAAAGATCAACTCGAAAACATTTTCTAACAAAAAGCATTTCAACGTGGTAATGACAAAAGCTTTAAAGAACCCCTCCCACCCCGCCCCCAAAACAATATCAAACTATCATGGATTCATGATGGTGGACGATTCCCACTCACCAATCCCTTTCTCCGTAAGACAACGTACGCTACAACAGAAGGTTGTAAACAGAATAAGTTTCAGTTTCAAATAAATTAAACAAGGAATTGATATTTCACTAAAAAGTAGAGTCCTTCATGATTTTTTTTATATACATATTAAATCATTCTTGGTTTGATAAAGCAGCTAATGATTATACAGAGTTATCATTCAGTGGCGAGTCTAGGGTAGATCAACACATTATGGCAATCTACAATTGAAAATACTTCGAAAACGACGTTGTTGGTTAGAAATTTCTAAACATAAAGATAATGCCAACGTGACTCATTGTAAATTATTTTTGATTGGAAAAAAATACTAACAGTAATATAAATTTCGACCTTTCCAGGTTCGGAACTGGTACCACCTTTCCTAGCATTCATTATATTATTTGGCCATTTCGAAGAAATTTCGAAACAGCAGATTTCTAATGCAAAATAGTCTGAGCGAGCTTACAAGTTTTTGGGCAAGTTACAAAATCATAAGAATACTTAGGCCATGTGCGAAGCACGTGCGTTTTATACCCCCTTCACAACCCACACATGTGGATTGTATTACCCAACAAGGATAATTGAATTTTTTCCCTCCTTCAGCTTACATCTGGGGAACTTACGTATCATACTTTTCCCACAGCGGCGACCAGTTCTTTCGCCAAAATTGAATTGATTGTCATTTTTTCGCAATTCACCGTAATCCTACTCTCTTTTCCATACTCCTTAAGTTCGACAGTTATCAATACGGGGACCCCGGATGAAGTAGCCGACCCAGAAAACCTATAATAATTTAAGCTGCTATTTCTGGGTAATGCCGCTACACTCGCACAACCCAGGATTTTCGACGCGAGCACGCGTTCCTCGCAGTTCTCCTGCGGGATATCCACAGTCAGAGAGCTTTCATTCATACCCGACAACTTCTCTGTGAACGAAGATAATTTAAGGTAAGTCAATATTTCTGTAATAATTTCATTTTACATGCATTTGTATAAGCAAGATAAAAATTTATAACCGCGATACTTACTTTGCAAAGTAAGAAAGTCATTTTCAGTTATCGGCCTCGCGTGAAGCTGTTCTCCCATCGGGCATTTCAACTTGACAGTAAACTTATCGGACTTCGTGCTGGTAAAAAAGCGAGATCAATTTGAACACATGATAAAGTTTTACTGCTAGGTATTCTAAATTATCCTCTTATGTTAAAGCTTGGGTCCTTATATACACCAGTCTAGTGTCTTCATTTGGAGAGATCTGTTGAGTCCTTATGAGTTATCTGATGTTAAAACTTGAGTTCTTATAAACTCCAGTCTAGTGTCCTCATCAGGAGTGACGTAATGTTGAAACTTGAGTTTTTATAAACTCCAGTCTAGTGTCCTCATCAGGAGTGACGTAATGTTGAAACTTGAGTTCTTATAAACTCCAGTCTAGTGTTCTCATCAGGAGTGACGTAATGTTGAAACTTGAGTTCTTATAAACTCCAGTCTAGTGTTCTCATCAGGAGTGACGTAATGTTGAAACTTGAGTTCTTATAAACTCCAGTCTAGTGTTCTCATCAGGAGTGACGTAATGTTGAAACTTGAGTTCTTATAAACTCCAGTCTAGTGTTCTCATCAGGAGTGACGTAATGTTGAAACTTGAGTTCTTATAAACTCCAGTCTAGTGTTCTCATCAGGAGTGACGTAATGTTGAAACTTGAGTTCTTATAAACTCCAGTCTAGTGTTCTCATCAGGAGTGACGTAATGTTGAAACTTGAGTTCTTATAAACTCCAGTCTAGTGTTCTCATCAGGAGTGACGTAATGTTGAAACTTGAGTTCTTATAAACTCCAGTCTAGTGTTCTCATCAGGAGTGACGTAATGTTGAAACTTGAGTTCTTATAAACTCCAGTCTAGTGTTCTCATCAGGAGTGACGTAATGTTGAAACTTGAGTTCTTATAAACTCCAGTCTAGTGTTCTCATCAGGAGTGACGTAATGTTGAAACTTGAGTTCTTATAAACTCCAGTCTAGTGTTCTCATCAGGAGTGACGTAATGTTGAAACTTGAGTTCTTATAAACTCCAGTCTAGTGTCCTCATCAAGAGTGACGTAATGTTGAAACTAGAGTTTATATACTCCAATCGAGTCGAGATATACACATTGACTTGTTTTTATGCTAAATCCAATGACTTTAACGGAAATATTTTGATGATAAAAGATAATTAATAATTGATAAAACAGTAACGCGACATACCATATCTCAAAACTAACTGGTTGTATAGTATCCTTAAAATCTATCCCCATGCTCACGGTGACTGTAGAACCAATACCGATCGATTCTAAACAAGAGCAAAGCAACCCCATCCCAATTATTCACAGGTGATTTGCAGGTTAATATTTTTTCTAAGCAGACAACTCACCAATCTTAGGAAAATCGGCTATTTTCAAACCGAGTCCCACTTTCTAAGACGAGAAAACAAACAGAGTCTCAGTAAGCACATTTCTACTAACGACTATGACTTACAATGCAATTTACCTTCTCGCCAACGTGAATGTTTTCAACACATGAACTGCCGCTGTTAGTAAATGTTATTTCAACGGCGACCATCGTAGTCGAATACAAACACGGACTCCGGGGGAACTTGTATTGAGCCTGCAATCCACGACCAGCCATCTTATTGAGCAGTTCATAAGTCCTCAATTGAGAGAAGTCCGTTACGACCTACATGAGAAAGTCGGCTTGAGCATGATTTGATCACGTGTCATTTCATGCGCAATTCAAGTAGGCGATTGGCTGTGTTGCTATTCATCTGTAGCCTTTCATTGTTATCAGTTGAAAAGGACCTCATCCTTAATCTAGAGCATGCGCATTGAATACTTAACTCATCGATGTACCTTTTGCACAACCGCAGCAACTCCATTCTGTACGACACCAAGGGAAAGTGTTTTCATATCGTCCACCAGCGAGGGAGAAAGAATGTTCTTATGTGCAGGACCATTTACAACAGGAGCCACAGGAACTATAAAAAATATTAAAGTATTTCGTATAGAGGAAAAAAATCAATCGGATTGGTGATTTCAGTGCCACAAGTTAAGCCGTTAAAGAGTGAGCTTACTATCTTCATCAAACGAAAGCAATTGATCAGTTGTTGGTGGCTTAGAAACTCGTTTATTCTTCGGAGCATCATCGGATTTCTTCGTTTCGACCTCAATATACAAAATATTGTGATTAATTAATTGCAGTTCATATGTGAAAAGCTGAATTATTTCTCGTTTTCAAACAGTGGTATACATATCCTTTGAAAGTGTGCACAGTAATTTATCTCACTTTTTCGCTGGCGTTTCTTGTTTAGCATCGTCACTCTCCTGTGACGAATCGCTTTCCGAGGACTCGGCGTCGCTATCCGAAGACTCTTCACTCGTTTTCGACTCGATGCTGCTCTGACTTTCTGATTTTTTTCGACTCTTTGCTCTTTCATTCCTTCCCCCTTCGACGTCGCTCTCTTGGCTTTCTGAAAAGCGAAATTGAATGACAAAAACTGAGGAGGGGGGAGGTATCAGAGGAAAATGAATGGCGCGGACGCTTTTAAACGCATGACGTTTTGCAAGAGATTTTTTTATTTATTTATTCCTTAATAAGTCTATATCACATACTATGGAGTAGACTTATGTTTATCCGACAGGAAGCAAACAGATTTTCCCGGGGGGTTGCATTAATGTGCTGGCAAAGGTTTCCCGGAGCCCGGGGCTTTGCATTGTGAAGTTGTAAATAAGTTAAACCCTTATACTAAGTCTAACTGTTTGTCATTTTCAAGCGCACGATATTATAGTAGCCATTTCAAATTCTGGTGTGAAATACG